TCTCTCTCTCTCTCTCTCTCTCTCTCTCTCTCTCTCTCTCTCTCTCAGTTGCGCGCCTCCTTGGTCCGTTACTCCCTCTGTTCACCATATATCCTGTGCACGAGGGGGGAGGTTTCATGTTGAGGCGCTTGAGCTTGAGCATCCTCAGCAGGCAGACGAGACTCCCGAGAGAGAACGAGAGAGAGGGAGACCATATCCGAGAGAGAGAGAGGTCATCAAGGAAACTTTTGTGTGTGTGAGAGAGAGAGAGAGAGAGACATACAGAGAGAGAGAGAGACAGAGAGCGACAGAGAGAGATGCTGCGCCTGGAATCGGGTCTGGGGACCGGGCCGGGGGGGGGGTGGTTGTGTGGGGTCATCCCGTAATTCTTTCGTATTCGTGCTTACAGTTTGCTATGCTGTTTAGAGGGTGTGGAGACGAATTCGAATGACTCGTTCAATCCGCACTGGAGAGCTTAATCGATTTCGCTGACGGGAATAGCATCCACTACACCGACGGTTACATGACGGCGCCAAGGACGGCTCAACGAACGACCGCATGAACCGGGCTATGGAAACCGAACAGACCATCGACTTGCATTACCAGCTACAACACCAAGAGTTGGCCCCGACGAGCTCTTCGGACAGTTCGCCGTTCCATTAGTCCACTGCAACTTTCCCCTGAAAACGAAGTCTCGCTTTTCATGAGAGCTTTGGATGTTGCATCCAATTGCCTGCGGATTTCGCGACACTGTCCGCAGGAGAAGAACTATCTGCCTCCCGAATCGAGTTCCACATTCAACAATGGATTCGTGAAAACCAGAGAAATCCTATAGACAGAAAAATGTCAATGGAACATAGCATTTTTTTAGAAGTAAAAGTGGATTTTGCACTGTTTCGTGCGCAAATGTCATCGAACCCCCCCCTAAAAATCAGTAAATATACAAGACCGACTACAACGTGGAAAAAAGAGCCCATTTTGGAGGCGAACAGGCGACTCCTACTCATGGCCGACGAAAGATCTCCAATTTATGGAGATTTCAGTGCATAACGAAACGACCATTCAGTACTGTACATTGGAAGTAGTATTTTGTTTCAAAACAGAAAAGCCTTTTCCGGAACCTAATCCAAGGACGTAAAAACTAACTGAAAACCTGGCAAGGCGAATAAAGCCTCTTTCTTTGCACTCATAATACTACGGACGTAGAAGCTTGAAAACAAAGGTAATAAAAAAAGAGGATGTAGAGGAAAGCAAAAAACAGCCAACGACAACTGATTTCAAATCTCCAAAAGTTGTGGATAGTCAAAGTGACCGAATTCGACCATCACGGAAATTCAACGACTCCCAAACACGATCTCATAGGCCTATAACTCGAATTTGCGCAAATGCAGAAAAGAGCCGAATCTCACGAGATTTGAAAGACCCTGGGAAATTCTCTCGAAATTCAGAAAACCGCACTTTTTGAATTATAGGCCTATAATGAGTGTTTGAAAACGAAACACGGACATAATAATTTTAGTCCGCAATCGGTCAAGTGTTTATAGCCCTATAAACGCAATGTTCAACATCACGAAAATTGAGTGAAATTCAAAACGCCCTTATAGGCCTATAACGCGAATTTTGAGAAAGTAAAAAAAGAGCATACTTTTAGTCCATTATCAGTCGAGTATTTAAAGACCTAAAAACACAGTGTTAAGAGTCATGAAAATTCTACGAAATCCAAACACAATCTTATAGGCCTATAACGCGAATTTTAAGGAAGTAGAAAAATAGCATAATTTCGCGAGAATTTGACATGAAGCTTGGCGGGCGTAAAAATTTTAATCCGTAATCGGTGGGATGTTTGAAGCGCTGTAAACGCAATGTTAAACGTAGTAAAAATTCAATGAAATTCGAACACGACCTTATAGGCCTTTAACACGACTTTGCGGGAAGTAGAAAAGAGCATAATGTCGTGAGAGTTTGAATGACAAACCGCAAATCGACAATTGTTCATGTGACAAATGTTATGGTCGAAAAATGAATGACAAACCGCAAATCGAAAAGCCGGAACCCAAACCGCAAATCGTGAGTCAATTTTCAAAATCTCAAAATTGTAAAGGAAAAAACCGCAAAATACATTTGAAAAAGATCGTGAAAACAAAAAGGTTGGCCACACGTGCCTGGTTGCGAACTGCGACCTACTGTTGTACAAATTTACAAGAATTTACAAGCCGCTAACGACTAGACTCAGATAACAAAAAAGTTGGCCACACGTGCCTGGCTGCGAACTGCAACCTACTGTTGTACATATTTACAAGAATTTACAAGCCGCTAACGACTAGACTCAGATAACAAAAAGGTTGGCCACACGTGCCTGGCTGCGAACTGCAACCTACTGTTGTACATATTTACAAGAATTTACAAGCCGCTAACGACTAAACTCAGATAATCTGTTGAACAGCGACAAAAGGAAACCTGATATAATGCGGAAGCAGAAATGACCTCGATCTCGATGACACTCTGCCAACCTTCGAAGCAATCGTTTCCTAGAAGGTCTTCCTAGTCGACATCCTCCGTTGCCATGGAATTCAACAACTCAGAGATCTTTTGTCTGGTCTGCGAGAAGAGGGTCCTGTCTGTCTTCAGTTGGAAGTCGTAACAAAGAACGCCGCAGCTCCAATCATAGACGTCCTCAGGAGGCTCTCTCGTAGTCTTTCCTTGAGGATTTGTCTTGAACTAAGGATAGTAACCCTCTCCTTTCTCACGTTGTGCAAACCAAGCAACTTTGAATCGTTTACCTGCTAGCAGCTCGACAACCTTGCCAATGTGGTAAGGTTTGCCTCTCTCTTCCTGCCCCGAACAAGCTCGTAATGCGATGAAAGTGTTGACCTCGACATCGTCGTACTTTCCGTCTCTGTCCTCTCTAAACTGTCTGCTCTTTCGTGCGCCGATGTAGATGGGTCTTTCAAGAGGGAAAAGATCATCCCAGCGTTGGTCAAAGCCGTTAGCGGTTGGTGGAACTTCTTCACCTGCTCTGCTGACATCAGCTGTTACAGAGGGCAACGCGAAAGGCTCTTTGAGGTTTGTGTCCTCAAGGTCGAGAGTTTCCTGCGTTGATATAAACTTATTCCACCATTCAATGTAGTGGGGTTGAGCGTAATGCGACAGGGCATGTACGTTGGCTTTTAAGGTGGCGATGGAAAGTACATCATCGTCAACCTTGAATTTCGAAGATCCTCCCGCTTTTCGATTACGGACATGACCTTCACTGCTGACGACCTTATCACGCCTCTCGTCCTCACCCCGACAAGTAAGTCGATATCTTGCTTCCAAAGATCGGATTGCATGCTTTGGCGAAGCTTGAACTTGTCCTGTTGGCTCTGACTTGAAGATGTCCAGACCTTCTCTGTCGTTCGGCTGCCACTGCGAGTTATGATATTGCTTGCTCTAAATGCGCACCTCCCCGTTGTCGTTGTGCTTGATTCGGAAATGTTGGTTCAAACTAATATCATTGATATTATGTAGATGATCCTGAACGTACAACTTCCAGTCCATTGTTTGCGTTATCTCCTCAACGTGCACGCCATGATCTTGTTCTACCTTGTACGACTCCCTAATCATGTGTTGCAACTCAGGAAGATCGAACGCACCATGTGCAGCCAGCTTTCTCGAGAAGCAGCTGAACATCTGGTCGATGTCCTCGTGCGTGTGACCTACAAGAAGAAAGTTTAACTTAACTTGACTAAACACTCTCATTTTCACCAAGAACACGAGATATGCCAACACAAATTTGTTCTTGTTCTCTTTCGAAGTGTTATCAAGTGTAAGATACAGGACTGTCGGAAATGGTACAGGAAGTTGAGAAATCTGACGATGAAGAACAATTAGCATGCAATTAGAATCTGATTTGAAGTTGTCAAAGAAAACAGTTGCAGAGGCGTTCGATGAGAGTCCTAGCACCTTAGCCCCAACCACGTGAACTTTCACAAAGTTCCCTTCTTTTAGTTTCGAATCCTTTGGAACCCTAGTGAAGTGTGGCAGTATAGTCTTGCTCTGATCCATCCCATCAATGATCATTGCGACATACTCTGACGGATGACTTGAAGCCTTGTGGCGATGCTTACTGAGTTTTTGTCTCTCTTCTACTTGCATTAACCGATGCTTCTCTAGTGCCTTGCCAAACATTTCTGCGCAAATAACAAAACAAGCGGTTACTTTTTCAAAACATGTTAAAGAAAAGAGACAAAGCGCGATGAAGGGCCTTAAAATCGAAAGCAATGATTAAACAAAGTGTTATAGGGCTATAACTCAGGAAAGCCAGTCCACAAGTGTCGTGCATCATAACCTTCGAAGTTTGGGCAAGGCAACGCAGACGTCACTAATATCAAGGGCTTTAAAATCGAAGACGGCTAAGAGATAAAGTGTTAAAGGGCTTTTACTCCGAGAAGTCGAAGACGATTATTAGACAAAGTGTTATAGGGCTATAACTCAGAAAAGTGAGTCCACAAACGTCGTAGAATCTTCAATTCATTCTTCCCCAAAATTTCTGTTTTGATTGACTGAACGAGTTCGGGGAAGGCAACGCAGGCGTCACGAAGACGATTATTAGATAAAGTGGTAAAGGGCTTTAACACCGAAAAGTCGAAGACGAATAAGAGACAAAGTGTTATAGGACTATAACTGAGACAGAGAGAAAACGTTTAACTATTTCTTTACCAAACTTACTACTTTCATAAGAATCCTTCCAAGTTTGCGCTGACACAAGATTCATTTTTCTTTCTACACGAAGAACATTTAGAGAGAGAGAGAGAGAGTGAGAGAGAGAGAGAGAGAGAGAAAGAGAGAGAGAGAGAGAGAGGAAGAAGAAGAAGAAATAGGAGAGACGAATAAGAGTTCCATGAGAATCCTTCCTTAAATGTGCAAGTCACAGCCTCTACCTTCTGCAAAAACAGATTAAAGGGATATAATTCAAAATAATCAGTCGCGCTGTGGCAAACATCGAAGAATGAACATTGAGAGAGAGAGAGAGAGAGAGAGAGAGAGAGAGAGAGAGAGAGAGAGAGARAGAGAGAGAGAAGAAGGGTCAGGAAGACAGGGGGAGAGAAAATAAGCACTGAGGTTATGTCATTACCTCGTTCGAACGCACTTGTTGCATGTGAATGGCCTGTCTTGAATTTCAGACATGTGGAACAGACCGAGAACCTCTTCAATGCAGGAATAAGAACTTTCGGGCAGTGAACCCTCCAAATGGTCATAAATCTGGAACGGGAAGGAAGAGTCTTATTCGTGAAGAGCTCTTTGCAGTCTCGCTTGAAGAAGTCGTACGCGTTCTGCGCCAGAGAGTATCTGAAAGATGAAACTGGTCGCTATTTGGCATACTCTCTGTATTGGATCGGAAATATTCATGCAACCAGGCGAGAATTTGTTGTGATGAAGTAGATAATCCGACTGATCCTTTGTATGCTCGTACAACACCATTCCTTCTCTGAATTCTTTGCGTATCTTTGCAACACGTGTAGTCGAGCATCCGTACAGCTTTCCCCACGCTTTTGTGCAAACCTTTACGTCGTTGAACGTCACTCTTAACACCTCTAAATCTCCCTCATCCGAAAAGTACGACGCAGCCCTCATCTCTGCGAGAAAGAAGTTGAGTTGCTCAGGTTGTTTCATCGCCCAAAATTCTTTGCGCTTGTAGAAAACATCTACCGCAGTGAACTTCTTGTAACAGTTGGCCTTGCAACAATCTTCCTTCAGAACTAGTTCGACATTCTTCATGTTCACGTGGTAGTTAGCTTTCTTGTTGTACACACGTACGTTCCTGCCACGCTTTCCCAAGTTGTAAGGAGGTATCTCACTCTTGCTTGATTTGCTGTACAGTCCTCTCCTCACCTCCTGTGCTATTATTTGCTTCGCTTCTCCTAGAAGTTCTCCAGATAGACTCTTCTTGAACATGTCGACATCAATTCTCGACTCATTCTTCCCTTCATCATCCTCAGATTTTGTGTCTTCTGAATCGGCATCCTCGCTCGTTTCCTCCTCCTCCTCATCGACGTCGCTCGATTCGCCCTCCTCATCATCGTCGTCACTAGGTTCCTCTTCCTCAGTGTCGTTGTCACGCAATTCTTGCGCCACGCTGTCGTAGAGCGTTTCTTTCACAACAAAGTTCTCGCTCATGTCCTGCACATCGTCTCTCTCTCTGGATTGTTCGCCTTCAACGTTCGGGTACTGCCGCTTCCCTGGGCGCTCTATCTGGATTGTACTCCCCGTTTTGCGAGTTGTGCAGAGACCCATCACTGTGTTTGCTGCTCGGCATGGCGCAATAACCTTTCTTGTTGTCGTGTTCGATCGCGGACGCTTCGGAAACGAACAGACATTGGTGGTCCTCTCACCAGTTCCACTGAGCTTCGGTAGAGGGTTCTGCTTCTCGCCTCCGCGTGTACAACATTGACGCAGGTCCGGAAACCACCTGCTATTCTTCGTCTTGACACTCTTGGCATCAACATTCTTCTTACATTGAGAAAGGTCTGGAAACCATCTCACGGGGTTAATCTTGTGAGTACTCTGAGTACATCTTTCGATTAAAGAATCCATGGCAGGAACATATAATACGACAACCTATTTGGCATCTAGAAATGACGATGGCGTAACCTACAAAAGAGAAAACTCGGTGTTAGCACGAGAAAGTGAGTCAGAGGACGTTCGGAAGAGAGTCGCTAATGGGCGTAGACTTCTTGGACATGGAAGATATGATACGACAACCTATCTGGCATCCAGAAATGACGATGGCGTCACCTACAAAATAGAAGACACGGTGTTAGCGCGAGAAAGTGTGTCAGAGGACGGCCGGAGGAGCGTCGCTAACGGGCGTGGACTTCTTGGACACCAAATCGAAATAAAATGAAAACACCCGCTACTGCGACCCCCGTCAAGAACATCATTCGCAATTTTGGATTTTCCGCCAACTGATTTTGAAGAAGTACAAATTTTGAGTCGGTAGCGACTGGGATCCCCGTGAAGAATATCTTTAAAAGTTGTCAATTTTTTCGCCAAGGTTTTTGCAAAAGTGTAATTTTTGGACCGTTAGGGACAAAAATTCAGAGAACCCGGACTCCCGCCCAAACAAATAATTTCGACCGCCCAGCCACTGGGATCATCGTCAAGAACATCGTTAAAACTTAGATTTCCCACCAACGGTCGTCTCAAAAAATTGAAATTTTAGAGAGCTAGTGACCAAATTTCGGAAAGCCACGACCCACGCCCAGCTACTGGGATCCCTGTAAAGCATATCTTTAAAAGTTGTCAATTTCCCGCCAAGGTTTTTGCAAAAGTGTAATTTTCGGACCGTTAGCGACAAAAATTCGGAGAGACCGGACTCCCGCCAAAACAAATAATTCCGACCGTCCAGCCACTTAGATCGTCGTCAATAACATCGTTAAAATTTAGATTTCCCGCCAACGGTCGTCTCGAAAATTGAAATTTTAGAGAGCTGGCTACCGAATTTCGGAGAGCCACGACCCGGTAAAACAAACAATATCGAACGCCAAGCGCCCGCTTACAGGTTGAATACGAAATTTAACTTCTTGGAGACCAAACCAGGAAAATTTGGACGACCCCGCTACAAGATTTCTGAATTGTGAGAAAGACTCCGCAAGGTCGGGAGCGGCAAAAAAGAATTTCAAAGAGGACGAGCATCGTTGAGCGTCGCTTTAGCTTAGAGAGCAAACATACAGATACAAACAGAGAGAGAGAGAAAGCAGCGTCGAGCAGCGTCGTAGTTGCTTAATGACCGTGGTTCAAGTATAGATCGTCAGGAGTATCGAATAAACAAATTTACAAACATGGAGAGAGAGAGAGAGAGAGAGAGAGAGAGAGAGAGAGAGAGAGAGAGAGAGAGAGAGAGAGAGAGAGAGAGAGAGAGAGAGA